AGAACGCGAGGCCGGCGGGTTATGCGGGAAAGCTCCGGGGGGAGTAGGAGCCGCGGCCGCGGGGTGCCGGCCGCAGTCATTGCCGCGGAAGGAGGAGTCTCAGTCGGACTTCATGTCAGCCGTGGAGTTAGGTCATGGGCAGCTGTAGCTCATCAGCAGCTCACTCTTCCGTGATCATAGAAATACCGTCTGTGTCACGGGGCTCTTGAGAAGCGCTAATAAAATAATGCATGCAAGTGTGGCTTGCATAGCCGTGTAAGGATTCAGGCAGGATTCTGTGCTACCGGAGAATGGGTGGCGCTGCCTGCAGGGTAGAGGCACCCCTTGCGAAACCCTGTCCCCTCAATTCCCTCCCTTGTCTCCTCTCCCTGGAGAGGCTTGGCCAAGGAGAAGCCAAGGTAGCAGTAACTTTCTGAGTTGGAATTATGCTATGGGGAGAGAAATTTTGTCTTGACCCAAATGCGAAGAAATTTCTGCCAGTTCTTATTCCCCTGTACTTAAAAGAAGAAAGTTAGGTGTGCTTCACAAACTAAGCTTCATTGGCCTCTAACGGGAATACAGGAAGCCAACAAAAAGGTAACTTTGCAGAGTGTTGCCTGTAAGGGGGAATTGTGAAAAGTGACGGCTACCTGGAGCATTGCAGTCTTTTTTAGAATCAACAGAATCATTCAGGTTTAATTGTATAACAAATCTCAAAATTGGCAAAATAAACGTATTAACTGATGTAATAGGTAGCTTGTAAGGGAATTATTGTGGGGCGCAGCTACAGTGTTTTGGACAGGTTCAAGCCTCGTACTGAGGAGGGGGCACAGTCCTTTTCATTGCCACGTGCAAGTCCCAGCCTATGCCTTCCCAGCACAATTGTAGCCAACAGCTGTAGTTGTAAGCTTGAACCTATGGTCTGAACACGTGGCCCCACGTGCCTGAGTGATAGAGTTCAGGTGCATGTAGTTGAGTAGGATCGAAACCCACCAGACTGTTGTAAACATCTTACTTTCCCTCCTGGCATCAGCTATAAAATAAAGACACGGCTTGTGGGTGTCGGCGCTGTCTCCTCATCAGAGAAGCAGCGTCCCACCGAGACCCAGCTTTCATTCTCTTGTCTGTCTTTTCTCAATCCTTCACCGCCCCCTGTCAGGGTCACTGAACCAGGCTGAGCTGGCGTGGCACAAAGGGCGCCCTGGGGCTGAGTATGCCATGGCCGTGCCGGCTCACCACAAATTATACTACAGATGATCATTAACTGTCTAGCGCACAACTATGACCTGAGAGAGAAAAACAATTGTTGTGTTTTTGTTTTTATACAAAAATCCAAGCATAAGAAGAGCTAGAGTTTATTGACTTACCCATCAAAGCCCAGTCACTTAGAATTCTATTACTCAGCACACATTTGTTGGGTACATTGTACACCATGGACAGTATTCGTGGAAAGAAGAATAGATATATGAACAAAATAATAAAGCTTAATTCCTGTTTGTTTGTTTTTAAAATATATTTTATTGATTTTTTACAGAGAGGAAGGGAGAGGGAGAGAGAGTTAGAAACATGGGTCAACTGCCTCCTGCACACTCCCTACTGGGGATGTGCTCACAACCAAGGTACATGCCCTTGACCGGAATCGAACCTGGGACCCTTAAGGCCATAGGCTGACGCTCTATCCACTGAGCCAAACCGGTTAGGGCTTAATTCCTGTTTTGAGGAGCTCTTAGTTTGGTTGACATAAAAGAAACAATTATACTATGTATACAGTTTCTTTCACAAGTAACTTAGGTAATAGCTGCTGTAAGAGGTCAAAGGAGAGAGAAATCGCTACCCTATGAGGTGGTCAAGGAGCCTTCATGGAGAAGATAGCATATGAGCTGGACCCAGAAGAATTCCCACAGACATAGTTAGTGGGAAGGGGTGAATGGGAAAGATATTCCCAAGGGAGAGAATGGAATGAGCAGAGGTGTGGAAGGGAGAAAGCATAGTGAAAGATAGCTGTTTAACATTGGGTTCCAGACGGAAAGAGGGCTGAACAGTCAAGTTGGAACCACACGGTATTAATGTTCTCTCTTCCCCTTACTGGTTTCTTTTGAGACCACCTTCAGTCATTTGCTCACAAATTCTCACCTCAAGATTTTTTTCTGAAGATCCTGATTGTGTTAGTTGGGTATACCAAGAAGCAGACATCAACACAGGATTAGATGTGCAAGAGGTTTATTTTGGAGGGAGATGGGGCAGGCAGGGAGAACTTGCAGACCACATGCAGCTGACCCCCCTGAAAGGAAAGAGGGTTGGGTAGGAAGCTTGCGTGAAACGCAGCTCCAGGAAAGGTTTGACTTTGCAGTGGGGAGTCATCTGCAGTTTGCCAGAATGGGTCTGCTACTCTGCTGTGTGCAGTCATTGACTAGAAGCAGCCTTAGAAAGCCTGGCCTCTGTGCAAATGTGATGGATCCAGAGGACAATAACTGGGCTGTTGTTAGTTGTCCTGCCCACAGCAGAAGATCTGAGGGGAGCTTGTTCATGGCCATCACACTGCCCTAGGGTATTGTTATTCATTCATTTTCAGAAAGTATTTTCTTGGTTTAATCCTAGCTAATAAAAGAATAATATGCAAATTAACTGTCACTCCATCACTGCGACAAAGATGGCGACACCCATAGTGGCCGGGGCAGGATGCTGGCGGTGTCACCCCGGCAACGTGAGCCCAGCAGGCAAGTGCACCCGCAGGCAGCACCCAGCAGGGCCTGCTTGGCCATTGCTGTGGTGTGGAGCAGGCAGGCCCCGCAGAGAGCAGAGAACCATGGGGAACAGGCCCAAGCTGTAAGTAGGACATCCCCTGAGGGCTCCCAGATTGGAGAGGGTGCAGGTTGGGCTGAGGGATGCCCCCACCCCAGTGCACGAATTTCGTGCACTGGGCCTCTAGTGTATATATAATCTGGCACTGTGAATAAAACGGTAGTGCTGCCGAAACCGGTTTGGCTCAGTGGATAGAGCGTCGGCCTGCGGACTGAAAGGTCCCAGGTTCGATTCCGGTCAAGGGCATGTACCTGGGTTGCGCGCACTTCCCCAATGGGGGATGTGCAGGAGGCAGCTGATCGATGTTTCTCTCTCATCAATGTTTCTAACTCTCTATCTCTCTCCTTTCCTCTCTGTAAAAAATCAATAAAAATATATTAAAAAAAAAACGGTAGTGCTATTATGCTCATGCACCTTTTATTCTGTGGGAGAGCAGATTTCTTTTTAAAGTAAATAAAAACATAAACAAATTTTACTATATGATAAATGCCATGGTGGAAGTAATAGCTAACATCTATTGAATGCTTGAATGTGTACTTGAATTCTATGTGCTTTACAAATATGAACTCATTTAATCCTCCCAGCAACCTTATGAGGTAGGTACTTTTTATTCCCAGATCACAGAAGAATCTGAGGTGAACAGTGCTTAATTAACTTAGCCCTAAGGTCATTCAAAATCAAAGGAATGAGAAACTAAGGTAGAGAATGCTTTAGGCAGTATTTATTTTTTCAATTACAGTTGGCATTCAACACCATATTAGTTTCAGGTGTACGCATTTATATATTTATGAAGTGATCCTCCCAACAAGCATAGTACTCACCTGGCACCATACATAGTTATTACAACACTATTGACTATATTCCCTATGCTGTGTTTTACATCCCTGTGATGTTAAAAAAAAAAAATCAAACCTGCCAATTTTCACTTCTTAATCCAGCCACCTTTTTCACCCAGTCCCTTAATCCCCCTCTCACCCAGTCTGTTCTCTGCAATCCATGAGTTTCTCTCTGCCAGAAAAGACCTGAGGAAGTGCTATTTAAGTTAAAACTTAAAGAATAGAAAGGGAATTAATTGTACATTTGTGAGGGTGGGGCTCGGGAGGGGAAGGCAAGAAAGAACATTCCAGGTAGAAGGAACAGCATGTGCAATGACTTGTGTTAGGGAGGAGAGCAAGATGGAGAGCAGTGGAAAAAAGGAAAGAGCCAGATTCTTCAGGAGCATGTACCTCTCTGGAGTTGCAGTCTCTTCTACTGCACACTATAGTCTTCTGGAATCTGGTGGGACACAAAGTTTGTTTTTAAAAGTTTTCTACATTTTGCATAAAGTGTTTCAGAGGAGAGTCATTTGCTTTCATTGGTCAACTTGCTTTCACTCTGGAGCATCTGATTTCCTTCATGTGACTGGTGATATTTCATTATATGTTTATGTTTATAAATGAAGGTTAAGGCTGTTCATTCAGCTCACATATTTCCCACTCCTTACTTGCCATTCCCACCCCCTGCCACCCCATTCTTGTAATAGACAAAGCAATTGGATTATGACCAGACCTGGCCAGCACTAAGTCTCTAAAATGTTTTTCTGCAGCTGGAAAATGTGGCTGCTGGACTCACCAGAATTCACTTTTATAAACAATAGAAACCTACTTCGGTTAGTGTTTTGAGAAGTAAGTTATTGGGAGTTTATCAAGAAGTTCAGACAACCAGGTGGAATGCTCTGGAAATGAAGCTTGGGTTCCATGGAAGTAAGACATAGTTTCAGTCTTAAGATGTCCCCATTAACACCGCCTCTAATGCTCGGTTCTGCTCCTGGATTCTGGGACCCCTAAACACTTGTCACCA